TTCTTTCACACCTTTCCCTTGTACTAGATTTATGTGAAAGGAAGTTGAAGGAATGGTTGTTTGAGTATACTTAAGATCGAGAAACATAATTGGACAACACTCATTTTAGTTGCAGCTGAATATTTTCTTTGACCTTGTGGCTTGCTTTTCCTCACTTTTTATGGTAGCATACTGAAAGGAGATGTTTTAACATGATAGAGTTTTCTTGAGGAGAGTCGTGTGCTTATGCGGTTACCACCTCGTCAATCAACTGCTGAAGCTGATCTGATGGTTCCATTTCAACTGGTGAGTGTCGGCTATGAAAAATCATGACAACTTATAAGAGTGACGCATTTTCATTTGATATATACAATATGTATTTCCACTCACAGAAATCCACTTGGCAATTCTGCCCACATCTGAAAGAAACTCCATTTTGTTAGCTACTCCGATTTAAGATTGTTTGCTTGTGATCCTAAAAGTAAAATGTTGAAGAGTTTTCTTCATTATCTCATTGTCTCAAGACACATTAAATTATTTTGCTTTACAGTGGGGCCAATCTGGGCCCAACCCCCACCACTCCCTCTTGCACTTCTAGTCACATATCTTCTGCACTTCTCTAAACTGGAAAATTGTATCCCGAGCAGGCTGCATTAAAGACTATTGGCGAAGAGGATAAATACTTCTCCAGAGTGTCTTTGCGGTATGGCCAATTTTGAGTAGATGCGTAAAATAGAATGTAACTCTTCGGAGCAATTATTATTATCATTAATAATAATTATCTTTAACACTTTCAGGATGCCTGGAATCACATTGAGATCGTCCCATGGTGAGTTGCCAAAATCAAAAGCATATTCTGATGGTGATACGGGCGCACAAGCAGATACTTCTATGGAGATGTCAGTGGATGGCTGGGATGGCGTTGCTCTTGAATACTCTGTTGATTGGCCATTGCACTTGTTCTTTACACAGGAAGTGCTCTCTAAGTAAGCTATCACCAGGCCCATTCCTCTCCGCTTGGAACTGTGAAGTTAAAATACAAAGCAATGATAAAATCTATCCAATTTTTCATCATTGATAATGTTGGAGTATACAACTTCTCAGTTGCCAATGCAGCAAGCATCATTAATAGCATAGTGAGAGACTTCTCTGTTGTTGATATCATATTTGAAATAGGTACCTTAGGATCTTTCAATACTTGCTCCGTCTAAAGCGCACTCAAATGGAATTGGAGAAGTCATGGGCTTCTGCAATGCATCAAGACCATTCCGATTTTGCCAAACGTCACAACAAGAGCCGTAAAAGTTCAACATCTCAACAGAAACGGCAACGCTTTAGACCAATGTGGCGTGTTAGAGAACATATGGCTTTCCTGATCAGAAATCTCCAATTCTATATTCAGGTACTTTCCCCAATGTATGGGCCATGAACTTGCTTCTAATTGATGGGTTTTGCGTGTCAGTTGATTTTCTATAACATTTCTTGTTATTTCTTTCTTTTCCCTCTTTTCCTCTTCGGAAAAATAAAAAAATAAAAAATCTTTGAGTACACAAAGCCACAACTGACCTTATATGCTGCACTTGCTTCAACGCTGTAGTGCAATATTTCCTTGAGCAGGCATCTCAAATTTTGATCAACTGGGGAGTAAACATGTTTGGATTAATCATGCAGAATGATCTTTCCTACTGAAGTTGACCTTGCATTTTTTATACAATTTCATTTCCTATAGGATTTGTGCGTGTGTGTGTGTGTGTGTGTGTTTAATTTTTTATGATTGTGTTTATATAAAAGGTAATGAATGGAAATATGTGAAATCAGACACTGGACCAGACACTCTTATTTTCATTATTTACATGAACCAAGAGAACTTTCTGTTAAAAGATATAATTATTGATACTGTTTGTTTTCGATTTTTTTAGGTGGATGTAATAGAATCTCAATGGAACGTTTTGCAATCTCATATTCAAAATTCTCGGGATTTCACAGAACTGGTGGGATTTCACCAAGAGTAAGCTAATGGAACTCGTTATCTGATTTTAACGACATGTGTTAGAAAGATAATGAATTGGCCAATTGCGGTGTTTGTTCTTGTTTGGCTCAACTGCTAATATAGCACTGAAAAATTTTCTTTAATCTAAGCTCTATTGCTGCAGGTACTTATCTGCACTGATTTCACAATCTTTCTTAGATATTGGTTCGGTCTCACGCATTTTGGATGGCATTATGAAGCTTTGTTGGCAATTTTGCTGGAAGGTTGAGAACCAAGAGAACAAAGAAATCACCACCGAGTTAGAGCACATAGCTGAGGTACTACAAGGCCGAGACTTGACTTGCAAGTCTCGGTGTGTTTGTTTATAAATTTTCTCAATCCATACCCATTATTAACTCAACTTTAACGCAATCTCACTATTCTCAATATTATCAACATAATAAAATAATACAAATCAATCATTCTTACACATCATCTCAACTTTAATTTACTATTCATCTACTCGCATAATTTTAACTTACCATCACTTCACATCATCTCTCTCCTACTTTTACATAAATTCAAAATCTACTCACAATTAATATGTGCCATGTAAATTATTACTCTTTCTTGAGACGGACTATACTTCTGTTTGATTATGCAGGAATTTAATAAGTTGAACTCATTATAAACCATCCTTTTTCACGAATATGCATCATGTTGATTATTTTTGGCTAAATTACATTTTTAGTCCTCTTGATTTAACGCCAAAGCAATTTTAGTCCCAAGATTCTAACATTTCGTCTTTTGGTCTTGTGATTTAATATTTTGCTGCAATTTCAATCCTCAAAAGGGCTGAAATTACTACAAATTCTCAACTTTAATGAGTTTTTTTAGCAATTTCAGACTTGTAATTTAAAATTTTGTTGCAATTTCAGTCCTGTAATTGCAGCAAAATATTAAATCACAGGACCAAAAGACGATAGGTTGGAACTTTGGACTAAAATTGCTATCACGTTAAATGAACAGGACTAACAATGCATTTTTGCAATTAGTTTTCTTTCTTGAGACGATTGTACTTCTCCTTGATTAATACAGGAATTTAATAAGAAGTCAAATTCATTATACACGATTCTCCGCAGCAGCAGGATAGCCGGGAGTCAACGTGCCCCATTTCTCAGGCGGTTCCTTCTACGACTCAACTTCAATTCATTCTTTGAGGTGAAACGTTCAAAAGCATCTGTTGATTATTTTCTACTAAAAAAATTATTCAGTTTGGACCACATTTTTTATAATTTTGCTAATCTGTTGGCAGACCACTGCTAGAGGGGTGCTGAATGTTGTAAGACCTCGCCCGACACTCTCGTCTGGAGTGATTTAAGGCTTTCTATGAGGTTCACCGTTTTACTGTGTTAGTCTTCTCAATTCCCACACTATTAAAATTTTGAAAATATTTTCCAAGACGATATTTTGAACACACACTTGAGATTTTTGTTTGTCACAGTTTCGTTGGTAGGATTCTCATAATGAGCTCATCTTTGTTGATCGATTATTTTTTCCTTCTGCAGGAAGCCTCCGGAGAAGATTTTTGCTTGCTCAAGATGTTCTCTATGATTTTTTATTTTCTTTTTTTTTTTTT